AATAATTCTTGACCGTATAACAATTTTGTTTTGGGATCATTCTTCATTAACTTATCCCAAAAAATATTGTAAAAGACCCTATATAAGCAAGGGATCTGTTCTTTAGTAAACCCCAATTCAGGGGTCCATTTATGAATCCACGGAATAGAGAATTCAGTAAAGAAGTATATCTGATCAATTTATTCTAAATAACAGATATGATCTATATGATATAAATCAGTTAAAAACGGAAATTTTTTTGTCCATTCTTTGTATAACTTAAGAAATGGCTCAGGCAAGATCTTTGTTGTGGGGCCGTGATATGACCACCAGTTCAGAAACCAATTAGGGATAGGTCCTGCAAATATCTTTGCACATATTTTAATAAACCAAGTGTGTTTATGTCTATCATTGTTATAATATAATACTCTATCGAATGCCTGGATATAATCCCAGTAAGTAAAATTCATGGGTGATTTATTAAGGCTTATCTGGCTCTCTTTCATTGTGGATATCCCCCATTCTTCAACAGATATAATCTGCTTGATAATAATTTTTGAGAAGTTATAAATGTTCTCACTGGAGTTATAACCGGAAAAGTGCTACAATTCTGCACTACATGTGCTGATGAGGATGGTCTCATAATAAGCGCGGGTTTTATATGATTCACCTGGGTAGTATAACCCATTAATCATGTATCTCTAGAATATTTTCCATGGTTCATCCTTTCGCTGAATCTCAGAGTTTTCTAAAAGAAATATTATTTCTTTCTTTGGTAGTTTCTCGTAGGACTTGATATCATCGTTGTCCTCTTATTTAGCGATTGAAGCAAATGTATTACTTTGCTTTTTGGCGGCCAGATATGCCTGTAGATGACCGTATAATGGATTATCTTCTGGAATATCATCCAGATGTATAGACGGACCTACTGATGAATCTCCTTTATGAAATATCTTAGAGTTTATTAAACTTTTTTTTCCCGCTTGTATCACCGGAGAACTTGATGAGGATCCGTATGACGATCCTTGAGAATATGATTTACTAGGGGAAGATCTTCCCCTACCTCTGCCTCTGGTGGCCCATGAAGGGTCCATTCTGCACAAATAACAAGTCAATTTATTCTGAGAAGTAATAATCCAACATATCATCCCTAACAGTTTCAGCATAATCATGAATAGAAAATTCATTATTAATCAGGTTATCAATGATTTCTTCAATTATCAATTCAATTATGAGACTTTGTAGGTCTCTATTTAATCTAACCACTTTAAGGATAGTAATTAATAATTCTTCATCGAGAAAAGTCGTATAGAAATTCATAATCAGTCTAAGTATTCCCGGGATAAAAAATCCGGAAGGGAATTATCAATTCCTTTTTTTGTATTGAATTTTAAAATCAAAAGGTGCCAGTTGAGCTTGCCATCTAGCAAATATTAATTTAGACGCATCATGTTTGAAATCTTTGTCAAACATATATTTAATAGATTGAGTATCATTTTTTATTAAAAACTTTTGATTATATAAATCGTCTTGAAATTTTAAAACACATTTAACAACAGTTAACATTTCATGAGCCACAATAGCATATTTCTTCTGGGCTTCGGTCCATTTGCCAGAGTGAAATCTTATCAGGTATTCACTCTTATTGTTGGGATTCACTTGCTTTAAAATTCCACCGTAGCCAACGTTGGACGCATCTGTTTCAATAATTTTTTGCCATGTAGGATTAGCAAGAGTTAAGCAAGGTAGAGACCTAACACGCTGTTTAATACTATTGATTAACGTAGTATGCTGGTCAGTCCAAGGCTGCCTATGATCCTTTTTCAGCCTGTCGTACAGAGGGGCTAGATCATGAGATAAACTTTTGTAGAAAGGAGATATATAATTCAAACTTCCCAAAAATCTTTGTAATTGAGTCCAGTCAGTAATAACATCAGGAAATTTTGAAGCAAAATCAATCGCTCTTTGTATTGGGGTAATTTTTCCTTGGCAAATATTATGGCCTAAAAATCGAACATTGGTTTGGAATAGACTCATTTTTGGTTTAGAAATAACTAAGCCGTTTTGTATTACAATTTTCTTAAAAATATCAAGATGCTTAATATGCATCTCTAATGTTTTAGAAAATACTAATATGTCATCAATATAAACGATGATAAAATCTAGATAAGGGTTAAAAATATCATTCATAATTTTCTGAAATTCAGAAGGGGCATTTTTTAAACCAAAAGGCATGACGTTCCATTCATATTGACCAAATGGAACATTAAAAGCAGTTCTATAAGTATGCTGTTTAAAAATTTGAATTTGCCAATTTCTAGATTTCAAATCGAATTGAAAATATATTGGCGTCATATAATCTAGATAGCAGATCTCTTTTATTGGGGATAGGATATCTAATCCATTTCAGATGCTTATTCAAAGGTTTATAATTTATAACTAATCTAGGAATACCACGTTCCTTTTCCGCAGCATTATTAACATAAAAGGCATAACATGACCAAGGAGATTTTGAGGGTTTTATCAAACCCTTTGTAACAAATTATCAATTTAATTTTTGTAGAATTCGACCAATTCAGCATTCATCTGGAAAGGTCGAGATTTAGTGGGGATATCATCCTCGGAGAAGTTTTCTTTGTAAGGAAGAGTTACAATATGCCTTTTTCGGTTCCAAAAGGCACTAGGGTGATCGGCGCAAACATCAACAACCATCTATTCAGCAATCAATTTAATCTTTTGCTGAACCTTAGCAGATTGTAAAGTATCAAATATATTCATGCTCAAACTTTCTAATTGTAATGAATCAACATGCCTTTGTTTCATATTAATCAAGGCGTTAATATCTCTAGTTACGGGATTTGTAACAAAAGAATAACTTATCTCTTTATCTTGATAGGTAGCAGAAAAACCCTGTGCATCTATGTTATTAAAAAGGTAAATAACATTAATAAAAGAGGTTCCAAGTATAATCTGAGGGTATAACTGGTTTTTTTACCAAAAAGAAGAAATGAGGAATATAGACTCTATTTTGGCAAATACGAGTATTTGGTAATTTATACTCTATATCTAAAGCATGACCAGAAGCAGATTTTACCAAATGAGTGGTCTTTTGAAAATATTTAGTAGGAACAAGACCCTCTTGAATACAACTTACATCTGCTCCACTATCAATCATTGCTACATCAGTTAGAGAGAAACTATTATCAATCAAGATAGTACATTTAATGTACCACTTATGAGTCATAACAACCTGCATCATTCCTAAAAACATATCAGAATTTTCATTAATCGAATCAATCTTATCAGAGATTTCTTTTCCCTTTTCATTTGAAAATTCAGAAATTCCTTTAGACGAAAAATCAATTGGAAAATCAGTTAGAGAATTATTTTTCTCAATTTGAGTAATCCGGTGATCACAAATCATTTGATTTTGTTTAAGAGACTTAATATCTCTTTTCAAATTCTCAATTTTGATTTTCAAATCCTCAAACGAAGTATCTCTGCTTGGCGTATTTGTCTTATGAAGACGTTTATTAACTTCAGACAAAGAATATGGCGCAAAATATTCAAATTCGTTTTTTGGTCTTTCAAAAAGCTTTGAACCACTAGAACTAGAACTTTCAATCAAATTTATAATTCTTTTACGAATTTTTCATCAGTAATTTCCTTTAAAAGTTCTATTACATTGTCAGATGTAATAGTTTTTATGTTCAAATCTTGAAATTATGATTGCAATTTATAAAACTCATCATCATCGCAAGTGCAAATATCACCTTTACAAGCGGCGCAAGCATTATCCAAATCTTTACTACTTTCAGATAAATCTATTAGATCAATCTCAGCTTCAGACTCAGTCTCATAATAAGTATAATCAGAATCTGATCCGGAAGTGTATGACAAGTTATAAACTTTGTCACGTAACCCATCGTCTAGTTCTAAGGCCTTTAGCTTTTGAAGCTTGCAATTTGGAGCGATATGCCCAAATTTTCCACACTTATAACACTTAATATCAGCGAGATCTCTCTTTGATCTATTCTTCGTAAATCGAGTAGATTTTCGATGTGCTTTTCTAGTATCACGCTCTTCCTTAGATCTATATCTAGACCTCATTTTCTTATACGGGATATCAGGGTTAGGATACCTATGATATCTGTTTTTCTTCTTCTTCTTACTTTGAGTAGAGGTTCCGGGTAAACCGAACTGGGTACAGAAGTCACCTAATTGGGATTTCTCTTTAAGCTTATCAATCTTAAGCTGTCTAGAAAGTATCAGCTTATTACACAAGTTTAAACCTTCTTGTGTAAACACTCCTATAAGTTTACCATATGTATAATTTCCTTACGGAATTTCACCGTAACTACCTCTTAACGCTTTTCTTACTCTTTCAGCGAATACGGAGGGAAGGTCGTCTATAAACTTAGCTTTCCAATGTTCATACTTGTTTTCGCGTAGCTCCATAACCCTACTCATAAAAGTATCTTTGTACCATCTAAATTCACTAAGGGTCCTACATCTAAGCCCATTTAGTAAAGTACGGATGGTCTCATGCTGATTGGTAAATCTACCATTAAAATGTTCTAGAATTATAAGGATAAGGGTATAAACAACATCTTCTCTTCCTTTAACAAGAGCCATGCCTATATTATCAACCCCTTCGTCAATGGCGGTCGCATTAATAACCGTTTCCTTTTCTTCAATAGATAGATAGTTATCCCACCAGCCACGAAGCTGGCCAGTAAAGCCTACAATAATCATTTTGCAAATAGTTCTATCTGTATTCTTAACACTTTTACAGATAGTTAAGTACATAAGCATTCTATGTACAAGAATAGTTAACTGTCTATCAGTTAATCCATCAAGATTCCATTCATAAATTTCGGAACCGCTGTAAGACGTATTAGTCTAATTCCAATCGCGTTCCTCTATTAACACATCTTGAGGAGTAGGACGAGAATAATAGTAAGTTTGCATCCGGGGTTTGTCGGCATACTTACTATTGGGTTTAATTAAACCCTTGAGCTTATTAATCTCTGACCACGTTTCAGTTTTGTAATCGGAAACAGTCTCAATTTTATCAGCAAATTTTTTTGATAAATCAATTGGTATAATATTTAAACCAGAAAGTTTCTTATCAAGAAGGTCTGCTAAGTCATCAAGAGATTTGAATTTAAAATCTTGAACCTCAGGAGACCTTTGAACATGAGTAAGAACTGTTTGATCAACCGGTTTGATTCCCGAAGTGGAGGCAATATCGGTTGGTCCTTTGTTAGTACTCATCTTCTTTATTAAAGCAGTCAAATCATCCAATTTTTTATCAAGAGAACCGATATGTTCTCCTAAAATTTTTACATATAAACCCAAATAATTGTTTTGAGAAATTAATTTATTAATTTCTGCGATACTAACAGTTGCAACATTATCATCAACAAATTTTTGAAAAGCAGTGAAGGTAATACCAGTATTATTAGGTAAAATAAAGGGGGCTTGAGGAGGGTATTTGTTTTGGATAAGTCAACCGGACGTTGACTTATGTGTTAAAGGGCTTGGATTTGAATCCCGATGATTCGGTTAGCTTCAGGAGAGATTTATGACTTAGGAGCGCGATTATAATGCATTTTGGAAGTCCGTGGAAGGATTTGGCTTGAATTGGCGAAGTTAGTATTTTGGCGAATTCCGGTTCATAGGTGAGATTTTGATCCGAGGGTCGGAATGGAATTCTGAAGGTTGATGTAGCTTCGTTAGGTGATTTGTATATGTGTACAAAATTTCAGGTCATTCGAACGTGGTTTGGTCGGGTTTTTGATCGAATGTGTATTTCGGAAGTTTTTAGAAAACTAGGCTTGAATTCGATGAGTTTTGGGTAATTTGATATTTTTTGAGGTGTTTTGATGATTGGAAGAGGTTTGAATAATGTTATTAATTATGTTGGCATGTTTGGTCGGGGTCCCATGAGGCTCGGATAAGTTTTGGAAGAGTTTTTGGAAGATTTTTGCCGTTTGAGCATAAGCATGTAAAGATCCAAAGGTCCATTTTTAGTTCTAGAGATCGAAATTTTATTACGAGATTTCCAGAATTTAAATAATGAATAATAGGAGTGATCTGGAAAGTTTGGTCTAATTTCATCAAGTCGCGATTGGGTTTTTGACACGAAACATGAGTTAATTGTTTAACGAGCGAAATGGATATCGCACTGAGCAAACGAGCTCCGAATTGAGTTTCGATTGAAGGACTATGTTCGTATCATTATTTGTGACTCATAGGAACAAGAATCATCGAATTCCGAGTTCGTATGATGGAGTTAGAGCCATTTTAAGTGAAATGCAAAGTACAGCAATTTTTTTTGGCTGCTGTAATTTTTTTAGCAGCATGAACAGTAACCGCGCGGGTGAACAGTACTTCCGAAACAAAATCTGGGCAGTGAATTTATAAGACATTTCATTCGCGAGCTAAGTCATTTTTTTCACCATTTTTGGGCATTTTGAGAGCTACTTGGGAGCAATTGAAGAGGGATTCGAAGAGGATTGATTGGAGGTAAGTTTTATGAGTTAAAAACATGATTATATTATGAAATCATCCTTGAAATTCATGAAAATATATCCAAATTGTAAGAAATTAGGGTTTGAAATTAAAATTTTAAATTTGGGATTTGAGGGGTCATTTGTGGTCCGATTTGAGAGATTTTTGTATGTATAGACTCGTGGCGAGATAAGAAACCCGATGACGTAAAAATTTTTGAGTTTCGAGACGTGGGCCCGGGGCTCGGGTTTTGTCAAATTCGTGAATTTTGATATTTTTCGATTGCTTTCGATTGGGTATTGTCTCTTTAGCATAATGCGACATATTCGTTGTGATTTTGAGCAGATTCGTCGCACGAGGAGGGTAATTTGAGAGGCAAGGGCATAGTGAGCTAGACTTTGACCATCTTGAGGTGAGTAATTGATGTAAATGATGTTCTGAGGGTTTGAAACCCCGGAATTTCACATCGTAATGCTATATTGAGGTGACTTGCAAGCCGGATAACGAGCGTGGGGTAGAGCACCACTGGGGATTGTCACTTGGTCCGTCCCGAGAGATGTTTTTACCGTGTTTTCTACGTGAACTACATTGAAAATCATCCTTACTTGGATTTAATTGTTACATTTGGGATTTTTGCTAATTATTTGAATCCTTCAGGGATTGACATCACTGTTTTCGCATACATGCATATCATTTGATCTCAGTCCGAGGTTTTAAATACTATTTTGCAAACTCAGCCATCTTTCTAAGATTTGAAAACTTAAATGATATTTCTAAATGATATTTCGGGCTGAGAACTACTATTTTACAAATGCCCAAGGGGCTTATGATGGTGTCACGACCCCAACCCCGGTCATGATGGCGCCCAACACACTGCTACGCAAACCCGACCATTCAACAACATTATCCCAAATTCTTATTCAAATTATAGATAAATATCATAGAGAATTTACTAAGTCATTTCATTCAAGTGTATAATTAATAATAAAATCTGCGGAAGTTCAATTAAAATACCACACCATAGCCCAACAGAATCCGGTGTCACGAATATGAGCCTCTAATACAGAATATCCACCTATTACAAGTCTGTCTAGGAAAAATACGGAATAAAAGATAGAGATAGAGGGGAGAGATNGCCTCTAATACAGAATATCCACCTATTACAAGTCTGTCTAGGAAAAATACGGAATAAAAGATAGAGATAGATGGGAGAGATCAAGGCTGCGAACGCCATGCAGCTACCTCGATACTCCCGGATACTGCTGCTCAGCTAAACAAATCCTCACTCAGCCTGTAGTGTACCTGGAGCTGCACACAAGGTGCAAGGAGTAATGTGAATACTCCGACCCAGTGAGTAATAAACATAAATAAAGGCTGAGAATGAGAAATCATGGAAAATACAAAGTAAACTATAACTGGCAATTTAGAACAACAAATAGTGAAGCAACAAGTCAATTCATTCAGAGTACCAAATACTGAGACATGTCTAACAGATAAAAACAAATGCATGAGTGCAATGCAATGCATATGATGGTACACTCTAGTACCCACTGCGGCGTGCAGCCCGAGCCATTCATTTATTTATCGTCGACGGCGCTCACTAGGGGTGTGTCCAGACTTCGGAGGGGCTCCTACAGCCCAAGCGCAATATCAAGCCATCTCGTGGCATCAAATCTAGGCCCTCGGCCTCATATCAATCTCAGTATAATCACCCAGGCTCTCGGCCTCAATATCAATGTAATCAACCAGGCTCTCGACCTCAATATCAATATAACACTGCTGCGGCGCGCAGCCCGATCCATGCTCAGTCCAGAAATCATCATAAGCCCCTTGGGCATTTGTAAAATAGTAGTTCTCAGCCCGAAATATCATTTAGAAATATCATTTAAGTTTTTAAATCTTAGAAAGATGGCCGATTTTTCAAAACAGTATTTAAAACCTTGGACTGAGGTCAAATGATATGCAAAATATGCGAAAGCAGTGATATCAATCCCTGAAGGATTCAAATAATTGGCAAGAAGCCTACAATTGGAAACTTTACTGAGGATATAAATTCTTTAACAAAATAAGTGAGTAAAACCAGTCAAAAATCCCCTAAGGGTTCTACAGGTCGGCACAAGGCCCCAAGCATGGCAACAAGCCCAATTCACAATAATAAAGTATACGTCTCAACCAAAAATGTAGTAAAATATCTCTCNCCAAGTCACAATCCCCAACGGTGCTCTACCCCACGCCCGTTATCCGGCGTGCAAGTCACCTCAATATAGCGTTACGATGTGAAATTCCGGGGTTACAAACCCTCAGGACATCATTTACATCAATTACTCACCTCGATCCGGTCCAAAATCTAGCCCGCGATGCCTCGCCCGCACGAATCGACCTCCGAATGCTCTAAATCTAGCCACAATCAGTACAGAACCATTAAAATATGCTAAGAGAGCGAAGCCCACTCGAAAATATCCAATTTAACATCAAAATCCCGAAATTGCTCAAATCCGGCCTCCGGGCCCACATTTCGGAATTCAACGAAACTCCCAAAATACGATAACCCATTCAACCACGAGTCCAACCATACCAAAATTACTAAATTCCGATAACAATTCGGCCTCCAAATCTAGAATTTTTGTTTTTGAAAAGTTTACAAATTTTCTCCAATTTCTTCCATTTGATTCACTAATTCTTGATGAAAATAACCATGAAATCATTAAATATAATCACTTTTGGATATAGAACACTTACCCCAATCCATATGGTGAAAATCGCTTCGAAAATCGCTTCAATCTGAGCTCCACAGCTCCAAAAATGAGAAAACTCCCGGACTGCCCGAATCATACACTGTTCATGGGACTATATACGAGGTACTGTTCGTACTTACTATACACGGGTACTGTACACGGATACTGTTCATGTTTACTGTACACAGATACTGTTCACGCAGGTGCGGTTACTGTTCACACGTGAGAAAAATGCAGAAACTGCCCAGAAAATTGCAGCAGCTTTTCGTTTCACTAAAAAGGCTCTAACTCCATCATACGAACTCGGAATTCGATGATTCTTGTTCCTATGAGTCACAAATAATAATACAAAGATAGCCCTGCAGTCGAAACTCAATTCGAAGCTCATTTGCTCAGTTCAATACCCATTTCACTCGTTAAACAATTAACTCATGTTTCGTGTCAAAAACCCAATCGCAACTTGATGAAATTAGACCAAACTTTCCAGATCACTCCTATAATTCATTATTTAAATTCTGGACATCTCGAAATAAAATTTTGATCTCTAGAACTAAAAACGGACCTTTGGATCATTACATGCTTATGCTCAAACGACAAAAAACTTCCAAAAACTCTTCCAAAACTTATCCGAGCCTCATGGGACCCCGACCAAACATGCCAACATAATTCATAACATTATTCAAACCTCTTCCAATCATCCAAACATCTCAAACAACATCAAATTACCCAAAACTCATCGAATTCAAGCCTAATTTTCTAAAAACTTCCGAAATACACTTTCGATCAAAAACCCGACCAAACCACGTCCGAATGACCTAAAATTTTGCACGCATATCCAAAATCACCTAACGAAGCTATAGCAACTCTCAGAATTCTATTCTGACTCTCGGATCAAAATCTCACCTATCAACCGGAATTCGCCCAAATACTAACTTCACCAATTCAAGCCAAATCCTTCCACGGACTTCCAAAATGCAATTCGATCGCGCTCCTAAGTCTTATATCATCCCCCGAAGTTAACCAAAT